AAGTTATTTTCATGACGGAGGGGAGCTATTCAAATGGTTCCCAAGCCGTTACCGACAAGATTCTGGAAGCAATTGCAGCTGGCATGCTCGTTGTCGTCACGGCAGGGAATGCTCAGCTGGATCTGGACATATCCCCATTCTTCCCTTGTTCCCTCGGCCGTTCACTCACTGATGGAATGTTATGTGTGGCTGCAACGTATGGTACCAAAATGCAGCTTATGGACGAAAGCAATTTTGGTTCAGCTGTCGACATCGCCGCTCCAGGTTCCGAAACAGTTGTAACTAGTCTTAACGGGACGTATGGCATTGGTGAGGGCACTTCGGGTGCCGCAGCTATCGTAGCAGGTATAGCTGGCATGCTCTACAGCCTAGAACCCTCTCTGAAGGTTAAGCTGACCCCCGGTTACGTCAAAAGTATCATCATGAACACGACCACCGAAGATGTCAAGGACAGTAAAGGAGAAAAGACTCTCTCCTTCGGCCGCGTGGATGCTGCGGCGGCTGTCAATACGATACTTGGAAGAAAGAAGGTATAATCTTCACTCTGACTTCGTCTCAAGATGATGGAATCATTGCTAACTTGTTCTGTCACCTCTCGTCTTAGACGAGTCGTCTAGCTCGATGGTCTCTCGCTTCCTGGATAAATTATCAATTCATTCGGTTCATTTATTTCTTTTGAAGAAAGGTTTGATGTGACATCATTGATGTCACATGCGATCGTAACGCTGGGGATTTGATTAAGATATTTCTTCACGCCCAACTGTTGAGTTCCTGATTCCCACTATGAATCGTTCTGGGCCGGTATGCGGATCCTGATCCACGCGTGATCCTGAGAAAAAAATCACGTCATAAGATCAATGTGATGATTTCATGACATGAACCTGATTTTTTTGCTCAGATCAACAAAATTGGGATCATGGGACAGGATCATAGATCATTCTCGTGATCCGTAGATCACATCACCCATGATCCTGTCAGTTTTGGATCGGGATCGTAGATCATGGATCAGTGAGCTAAAATTGATAGATCACGACTCACGATTCATCAGTGATCCGGTCACGGTCGATCACTTGCACGAATCAGTATTGATGAGATGAGCGCGATCAAGAATCACGGCGGAGCGATGCTGCTTCGCTCCTTTTGTTGCGCATATTC